GTGACATCCATGAGCACAAGACAGAGATTGAAGCTCAGGACGCAAGTGCAGGGAAAGGATATTTTACACTAACTGGCTGTGACTAGATGTGCCACAATCTCTCTCCACTCCTTCAAATAAGAGGGTTTTCTTCACTTAAACAGACCTCCAGAAATCTTTCCTTTTCCTGACTTGTACTCCAAACTTCAGATCAACCTATATATTTTAAAATTTTCTCGCGGTGGCTGGTGCTGTGGCCTGGTGGATAAGGCTACCTCCTGCAGTGCCAGCATCCTATATGGATGCCAGTTTGAGTCTTGGCTGCTCCACTTCTGAGCCAGCTCTCTGCTATGGCCTGGGAAAGCAGAAGATGGCCCACATGCTTGAGCCCCTGCACCTGCATGGGAGACCCAGAAGAAGCTCCTGGCTCCTGGCTTCAGATAAGCCGAGCTTCAGCTGTTACGGTCAGTTGGATAGTGAACCACAGAATAGAAAACCTCTTTCTCTCTCTCTGCCTCTGCCTCTCTGTAACTCAGCCTTTCAAGTAAATAAATACATTTAAAAATTTTTTTCTTGCACAAAATAAAATATTTTAATGCGGCTATTTAGGTTTCTTTCACAATAGTTTGTGATGCCTATTCAAAGCACTTAATATCTAGTTAAGAGTAAATAAGATAATGTCAGGTATGAATGGTTCATCTTTAGTAAGCAACCTCTTAAATCTTGAACTTATGTCACAAGATACTGTTGTTAAACAATATGTACCAAGTAAGTGGCATACACAACAGGTGGACAGATTTTCCAAAAGATGGGACCACTCACTGTGGTATGGTGTGGAGAAAAGCATTCATAGAAGAGGACTTTGAAAAAGGTACAGAGGGTAAGAGTGCAGAGAGGATGAAGGTTTTCTAGTATGGTGGGAGTACCGTATAAAGACTTTCTGCGGAACATAAGAGAAAGCAATGCAGACTGCTCTAACCCAAGGATAGCCACACAGAGGTTGTGTTCAGGTACTCTGGTAATTTCTAGATTGTGTACTACTGGGCTAAGAACTTACTCAAGGGTGGGCTTGACATCTTCCTGAAACCTGAGAAAACAGAGCTGGAACTTCAGTGATAAGAATACATAGGAAGAGAAAGCACAAAAAGTAGATAAAGAAGCTAAAAGATGGCATACAAAGTGTTTGCTTTTTGTTGCTTTTAGAATGTTTCTGTTTATAGCATAGGAAAGGAAAATAAACAAAGTATAATTGAAGTCAAATTAGAAATCTCTTCTATAAAAGAAATGATGAAAAAATATGCACTCTAAAATAACGCTAAAATGTATTCAGAAGCTTTTATAATCTAAAAAAACATTTTTAAACATTTATTTATTTATTTGAAAGGCAGAGTTAAAGAGAGGCAAAGGCAGAGAGAGAGAGAGAGAGAGAGAGAGAGGTCTTCCATCTGCTGGTTCACTCCCCAACTGGCTGCAATGGCTGGAGTTGTTGCTGATCCAAAGCCAGGATCCAGGAGCTTCTTCTGGGTTTCACAAGTGGTTGCAGGGGCCCAAGGACTTGGGCCATCTTCTACTGTTTTCCCAGGCCATAGCTGAGAGCTAAATTAGAAGTGGAGCAGCCAGGACTTGAATTGGAACCCATATAGGATGCCAGCACTGCAAGTGGCAGCTTTACCTGCTATGCCACAGTGCCAGCCCCAAATTTTAACATTTCATGTCTTGTCCTTCCTTATTGGTGTTTTGTGACACAGGAAAATTCATTGGTAGTTCTACTTTATACCTCATTGTCCTAAGATCCTAAACCTATATCAGCTGACATCTAGATCTGCTCAAATATAATGGGCAAAGAAAGTTTTTGGAGAATGAAATTAAAGTATACATTCATTTTGGTGCAAAAGAATTTTGAAATCCAGGCACAGTTTTTTCTTTTTACCAAAATACACATTTTCCATGAGCATTTTGAAGAAGCTTTGTGTATTATGCTTGTGAAGCATAAAGCGTTTACTTTTATGTTTTACTTAATGGTGCATTTTGTATCTCAAGCAAAAAGGGACAATGGGAGTATCCCCTGGTGAATTTCTGGAATTTTCAGTCCTACTCATATTGCCACCAGTTCTTCAACATCAAATGATCAGATATCCCAGGTTTCAACATGAGATGATGGTGCTTAATATCATCATTTTTAAATTCACTAGTTCAATAGTTTGTAACTGTTCTGTGTACAGTTGGAAATAATTTTCCATCTTACCAGTTTCAACTGAATACAATTCCATGAGTTTTTTTCCTCAGCATGTGCGTCTATTTCTCCAGACCTTTTTCTTATTCCTTTAAAAAAACATAAGTCAAGAATGTGCTTTTGAAGCAAGTCTTTGAACAAGGAAGAGCAAATATCATAAGCTCTCTTCTTTATGTTTTTTGTCAAAATCTGTCAAGGTGTTGTTTTAGTTTTCAGAGAAGAAACTGCTTCAGGCAGAAACGGGATTTCACACAAAGGGAAGGTGGGATGATGATAGCAACACAGTACCTTTATGCCGTGCTACCAAAAGTATCAAGAAATAGCAGACAGAGGGGAAAATCCTATAATAGGAAAAAATATTCAGCTGCTTCCTAGTATTAATTACACCCTAGGTAACACATACTAGAAAAAGAAAAAAGAAATAGGCCTTTATCTACCTTATAAAAATAACTAACAACAAGAAATCATTTTATTTGTTCTTCATCTCATTTCTTGGTAATTCCATTAATGGCACAAGGTGGCTAATACAGCTGTCAAAAATAAGAGCAAGGAGCAGTGGCTCACTAGGCTTATCCTCCGCCTGTGGCGCCGGCACTCCGGGTTCTAGTCCCGGTTGGGGCGCCAGTTCTGTCCCGGTTGCTCCTCTTCCATTCCAACTCTCTGTGTGGCCCAGGAAGGCAGTGGAGGATGGCCCGAGTGCTTGGGCCCTGCACCCGCATGGGAGACCAGGAGGAAGCATCTGGCTCCTGGCTTCAGATTGGCGCAGCATGCCAGCTGTAGTGGCCATTTGGGGGGTGAACCAACAGAAGGAAGACCTTTGTCTCTCTCTCTCACTGTCTAACTCTGCCTGGCAAAAAAAAAAAAAAAAAAAAGAAGAAGAAAAAGAAAAGGCAAGGGGCTGGCACTGTGGTGCAGTGGGTAAAACTACTGCCTGTAGTGCCAGCATCTTACATGGAAGCAAGTTGCTCCTCTTCCAGTCCAGCTCTCTGCTATGGTCTAGGAAAGCAGTAGGTGGCCCAAGTGCTTGGGCCCCTGCATCCACATGGAAGACCAGAAAGAAGCTCCTGGCTTTGGATTGGCCCAACTCAGGCCATTATGGCCATTTGGGGAGTAAACCAGTGGATGGACTCTCTCTCTCTCTCTCTCTGCCTCTGTCTCTCTGTAACTCTGCCTTTCAAATAAATAAAAAATCTTAAAAAGAAAATAAGGGCAAGGCTGTAGTTAGAAAATTAGAAGAAAAAGAAAGGAGTTCATGAATTCCCCTTGATGATCAATCATAGATGTTGTTTCCCCAAAGTGTTTTTAATTTTATTTCAGAGTGAAAATTATTATTTGAAGTACTCTAGTACAGAAGATTTAAATTACAAGTTAAATGGGATATTTTCCTAGTTCTAAATATATAGATTAATGCATTCAGATATAAATATAAATACAGATGGAGATTAATGTATTCAAAAACTAAATATTGATAATTGGTAACTATATCATTATGGTGGAGCAAATATTGAGTGGGAATGAAAATCTCTTAATTCTTTGGTTTTCTGAAGTATAGCCTACCTATCACCTGAATTTCTTATTGGTAATCATAATTACAGAACAGCATTTCAGAAAATTTGCAGAAAAATGGAATGAAAAACATAAGTTTATTTTAGTGCAAACTTTTTTGAAATCTATGTAGTGTTTTCATAATACATGCTTTCCAGAAAGTTTCTTAAGATCTCTCACATACTTATTCATGTATTCATTTTTGATGGGGAGTGGAAATAATTATTACAAAAGAATAGTTTGAGTAAAACCACTTTAGCTGTTTTGAAACACTGGGAGTTATTTAAAATTTGAACTTATTAAGAACAAAACAAGGAAATAAGAAACATGCTGCTGATATTTTTCCATCAACTGAATTCTAAGTAGGCAAAGGAATCTTGGATGTCTTAATTTTGTTTTACAGGAGTTTTAGCTTCCTAAGAGTAAATTGGAAAGCTCATAGAAATACTGGAATTTGAGGTAGATCTAACATTCTGTTGTAGAAGATTTTAGGTTTTTCTTTTTGAGTTAACTTGTTCTAAAATAATTCATGTTTTACCAAAGCAATAATTATTCTTGTAAGTTTATCAAAGGATAAACATACTTTCTTCAGCAAAATATTTTGCTCTTTTCCCTTAAAAGAAAATTCATTTCTTGACACTAAGTTGGAGTAGTGGAATCACCTCTGTCAACCAGTCAGTGGCCATGCTTTGCCTGGATATGAGGTTCGAAGGTCACCGCTGGAAACAACTGGGAGCTCTTCTGGGAGACTGCCTTGCCTTTTTAGGTTATGAGGGTCTCTCTGTTTAGGATAACATGATTGACAGTTCCACTCCAGCTCCAATTAGCACTCTATAATTTATTAGCTTCTGCTTTCAGATTATGCGCTAACTTCACAAATATTTCAACCACGGAAACAGCAGCTATCAAGTGTCTCTTTCCTGATCCAGCCCTCTGGGCCTGGAGTGAAATACAAGGAAAGGGTGGTACAGTTGGTCAAGTGAGAATAATCATTTGTGTCTGTGCCTGTCTCAGGGCATGTTGTCTCTGATTTCTCTTTAGGACTACATATTTGTGTGTGTGTGTGTGTGTATTGGGGAGTAGGTTATATTTGTGGATAAATAGATTATATTGTGTAAATATTTTACTTGTACATAGAGTTTTACTAATGTGTGGGAGATGAAGAAGAGCCAGTATTAAAATTTGTGTTTGCTTAACCGGAATGCTCATGTAAATGTCACTTCAGTTACATACAAACAGCAACTGTAATGATACTGTCTTTAGGACATTTATTCCTTTACTCCAGACTTTAGGAATATATATACTAAATCCTAAAATTTTACCAAGGAAGACTAGAATATACAAAGACTTTGACAAGTACAATCAAGCTATGAATTATTTGCATGCAAACAGTCAACAAACTATTAAATTCTATAGAGGGCTCATTTTTTTTAATATTGTATATCTTTGAGGTCTTTTGATTTAAAAAATTCTTCCATGCTTTGACATCTTCTAATAATTACATTAAAAATGAAATTTCTGAAAATGGCATTTATATGGAAAGCCATTTTCTAAGTTTTATTTTTTAAATAAAGTAACCGATCACTAAGTGTGTAAAATAAGAACTTTTTTTTTGTTTTGATAGGCTATATCTGGGTGCCTCACAAATATGCAGGTTTTGTAATTCAAAACACAATGGAAATTAAAGTTACCTTAGGAGTAATTTCCCCCAGCTGCAAGGGGGCACGGAAAATACAGTACTTACCCAAAGAGTGGTCAGAGAAGCTTTCAGTCAGGGAATCTGCATTCTAACACCCACCATTTCTACCCTGCCTCCCATTCAGGCCCAAATCAATGTTAAGTCATTGCTACGCATTGCCATGCATTGAAATAGAACTTCAAAGGGGAAACAAGAAGGGATGGCAACTCCCTTTAAACTCAAGCAGTAGAACAGATAGAATTCCCTGTAGCTGGGTGACTGAGTTCTCAGCCAGAGGGCAACGGGCAAAAGGATTACTTGCTGGTGGAGAGCCGTCTCTCCCCTTTTCATCACCTCTTCCTCCGCTTAGGCCAAGTGCAAAGGGAAAGCTGTGGGTGAAGAGGACACAAGTTGCCAATGGGTATGATTACAGGGGAATCTAATTTTTCAGACCCTCAATCAGGTCATGCATGTGTATGTCATGGTCCCTTTTCTCATGCTGTCTCTCATTTCCTTGAACACCCTTTTCTCAATTCTTAGTAGTACTTTGTTTGGCTCTACGTGGTCTCACCAATATTAGCAAGACAGGCTTGGAAGTTTCTGTTAAGACTGGGGTCCTCAAGCATACCAGGGCTATTGGTTCACTAAAGTTCTCTTTGACATTCTTATTACACAGAATCAAATCATTGTAGCTTGTAAATCATCTTGCACTTCTGCCTTAGGTAGGTATAAAATGGAGAGAAATGCTGTGATTTTGTAGGTCATACGTGCCAGGTGGCAGGAGCTTGGACTGTTTCAGCAGACTGGACGGTCTGTTCAGGACTGCATAAGGCCAGTTCCAGTGAATGAGTCTCCTCACCAGCAACCTGATATTCAGGTCAGATGTGGCTTAGGAGAGAGATTTCAGTAATTAGAACCTCGTGGCTGGGAAAATGCTCCCTGTGAGTTCTGACCACAGATCTCGTGAGTGCTAACATAGGTGGAGCACAGGTAAAGATCTCTTCCACTAGGAAATACTCCAAAGATGTCTAGCAGAGAATACACTGTTATGCTTTTAGCTCACACAGCATGTTTGGCAGTAAATTCTGAAAACTGTACTGGGATTTAATGCATTATATTTATGCTTGTAGACACCAGTGATCCATGCCAGTGGAACATGGATTAAAAAAATCCACAGAGAAGTCCAAAGTTAATTTTAGTCATTGCTTCCATGTCCAAACTTCAGGGCAGCTCTCACTGGGCTTGATTAGGTTTGGGTGTGAAGAACTTCAGAGCAGTGAAGGCTGTTAAATGGTGAAATGAATTAATAGCAGAAGTAACATTAATTCCCTTCTGGAGACAAATGGAGATATGCATCGGGCTGGTCTAAAGGCAGTGGCATTTGATGGAGTTTGGACAACTTTCTATGACATTCCTTTGCGATTTGGGGTTCTCTGAGTCCCATAAAACGTCAGTGTTCACTTTGCTGTTTCTTTTTCCCTTTGTATTCATCTGTTGTGGAGGAAAAAATAAGCCTAAATTTGGAAGCAAAGAAACAAATCAGAACCGGAAATGCAGTTATTGAGGTGGGTAGTAGGGCAGCTCCTGTGTCTGAGCTGCCTGGGTTTGCATCTCGGCTCTGCCATTTATAAGGTTTATGACTGGGCAGTGATTTCTCCTCTGTGTGCCTCAGTTTTCTCCTGGGTAAGATGATCATCATAATGAGTCCCACATAGAAATGTTTTTGAGGCTGAAATGAATTAACTTTTATGTAACACTTTCAGAGTAGTGCCTGGTGCATGATAAACAATTAACATTAGCTATTATTATTGCTACCACATCTCAGGCAGCAAAATCATAGTCATAATATATCTGAACAAGAACTAAAATATCATTTTTGTGGTGATATTTACTTCACATGCTCCCAAATGATGGAAAGGGAGACAGGTGACTCTGACAAGCTCATGTTCTGAGTAGGTTCCTTTAACTGCTTCCTACTCTCAATATTATTATCCAAGACGAATTATATTTGCTTCTCATATTATAATGAAGGTCAAGATTAGGCTAACATTTTGATACTTCAACAATGTACCAAGGTAAATTGAGCATGACACAAAATGTCTCTCCAGGGTGTATTAATGAAAGAACACAAATAACTTTGGTATCAACAGAAAACAAATAGAAAAGCCGTCAATTTCTTTATCCCTTGCTCTCTCCTCTTCCTCCTCCTCTTCCTCCTTCTTCCTGTCTAGTTAGAAGTTTGGTTTCTTAGACTATTTTTAAAAATATAAAATAACTAATATTCCAGAAACAGTTTTAACTGATGACTCGGCTGCCTTTAGAACCTAAAATTTAAGATGTTAACAGTGATTCCCATTTGGAAATTAATGGATCTGTATCTGACCCAAGGATCTACAGGTAGTGCTTTGTGTACCACCTCTGCTTCTAACTTGCTGAATGCCTTTGGCTTCCATGGGCCATGATTTTGTCATCTGTAAAACAGAGGGAGATACTTAACTTCTCATGCCTCGAGTTGATAACGGTAAGAAAGGGGTTAGCTGACTCCACAGCATAGCAAACATTCTGGGCAAACAAATATATACATACCATACATACATATACATATGTATATATACACACATATGTATATATCTCTACTCTCCTTTATTCCACTAGAGAAAAACAGACATTTGTTTACTTTTATGAAACAACACTGTGAACTCATAGTAAACAGGTATCTTTAATATTCTTAATGTTCATTTCTTCCTCATCACCTTCAGCTTTGCCCATGCTTAGACCCCTTCCCCTGTCCCAATACTAAAGTGACCAAATCACAGCCATGGAGATGGACAAAGATATTCGGGGTACTGCAGACTCCATGAACATTTCTTCCCCTCGTAGTGATTCTTAGTTATTCTCCATGGAGACAGTTAGGATTTCTTGTTGTCTTTTTTCATCCAGAGGATAGAAGGAGGGACAGAACTTGTGCAAGAGAAGGAAGAGAAGGGTTTCGTCTTTCCTTGTGAAATGTTCCTTGTAAAAAAAGATGATATCTATGTACACACACACAAACACACACATGTATGTAAAATGTATCCAGCGCAGTTCCAATTGTTCTGCCAAATACTGGGAAGTGCCACCTTGGTCGGTGTATTTCTGGAGTTTTAAACAGTTGTCCTGCAACAGCTGCATTTCAATAAGACTTGGGCAGGTGGCTGCAGATAAGTCACTTGCCACTGACATTCAGATGGAGGCTTCCATGTTCATAGTCCAAAGGAAAAAGTGTGTCTTTGTGTCTGGAGTGGGTGTCGGGTGGGGCAGGAAGGGAGCTGAAGGCTGAGCAGTGAGGAAGAAGGAACTGGATTCTTTTTACTTCTCTACTACAATTTTTGATGCATATACAAATTTTTAAAATCTGAGGATAATGACATCAGTAGTGCTATGGTCACACTACCTAATGAAAAAATTCACATCAGCATAAAAAATATTCACACCGAAAAGTCTTTTTTGCTTTCCCCCTGTCCAAGAAAGCGTATGATGTCATACGACCTGACCAAGTCATCTCACCATAAATAGTTCCTTCCAGTGATTTGGCCAAAAGTCCTTAGACACAATTCTCTCTTTGGATCTGCTCTTTTGGTAAGAGGAGTTAATTTGAGATGAAATTTCTGAAGATGTGATTTTTGGTTTTCCCACCACACGGAGAAATGTGAAGTCTCTGCCTTCCCCTGTGTCCTCATCCACGAAGTGAGAGGCACAGATGTTGCACCTCCATGGCTGGTGAGAAGGGAAAGGGAAGGGGAAACCCTGGGTCAGCAGATCAGCTCAGAAGGGGTGCACCACAGAGGGAATAGCGACGAGCTGTAAACCAAGATCAGAAGCCGTTACAAACCCACTCCATTTCAGCTCTGAGCGTCACCAATCGCACTATGCAGTGACCTACAGGGAAGAAGCTGGGCTGTCTAAAACCAGTACACATCCTTGCTTTTGTCCTGAGGCTGCAAACCTGTAAATAGAGACAAGGGGAGGGGGGAGAGACAGAGACAGAGAGAGAGAGAGACAGAGAAAGAGACAGAGAGAGATGGGGGAAGAGAAAAAGAGGGAGAAAGAAGGGGTGGGGAGGAAAGGCATAGATGTTTAAGGGAAGAGAAAGACACACACCGTAGTTACATTGTGACAGTCACAGATTTCATCTAAGGGGCAAGTGAGTGACAGTAAAAGCAAAGCAAACAGAAGTCAAATCTTCACCTGAGGGAAGGGGGGAGGGGCAAGACTACAGTAAGCCAATTCCTGCATTTACTATGTAACTATTTTCGTTTGCCCTAAAAATAAAGGAAAGTGAGAAAGAAAAAAAACGAAAAAAACAAAAAGCCTTTAAAAAAAGGGAAATCCTTATTTGGATGCACCATTCAAAATCAACTCAGATAGTTAACATTATTGTTAAAAGCATATTCTTTCACTTTTACATTTTGAAGAGACCCCTTTAATCTGGAGTCACATATTTTTCTTTCCTTTTTATCTGTCACCAGGTGGCAAGACCCCTAAAGTCATATAGGGTTTAAAATGACACTCCCAGCAGCAACTCTAGATCAGCGCTGTCCAACAGAAAAATACAACAGGAGCCACAGGCTTTAATTGCAAATTTTCTAGAAACCACATTGAAAAAAAGTAAAAAGAAACAGGTGAGATTTAACTTTAAGAATATATTGACTGACCCTAATGAATTCGAAGGGCAATGTGTTGGAGATAGTTCGATTTGTAATCAAAACAAAGATATGAACGAGATGAACCTCACTTTTTTTTTTTTTTTGCACAGAGTTTTAGAAATACATTTTTCATACAGGCAGTGCATCTTAAGCCGCCCTGGCCACATATCAACAGCTAGTGGCTACAGCATTGGACAGCACAGAGCTAGACCCTGTCCGCAGTTTTATTTATTGAACGTCTTCTCTAAGGTTTACCAGCCAGGTTAGGGCAAGGACCAACTTTCTCATTCCTCTCTGGCATCAGCTGAAACCACCACGCCCGGCACACCTTTGGCCACAGACTCCCGGGGGTTTCCAAGAGAGCTAAGGGGGTCCGAGGCTCAAGCCGGGGTCAGACCGTGGCCGCAGAGGCCCCGGGGAGGCCAAACTCCCTCCACCGCTTACCTGAGTCCACGCTGAGGCTCAGACCCTGGGCCACGTCCCCGGCGGGGCTTGCGAAGGGGCCCCCGGGCGCGGCCCATGCGGCGCCGGTCGACTCGCCCTTGGCTGTGAGCTCGCAGGGTGGGCTGCCGGGCGCGGGCGCCGGGGCTGGGGCGAGGCGGGCTGGGCGCCCCGAGGCGGCGGGCATCAGCAGCGGCCCGTAGCGCGGATCAAAGTGTGGCGCGTAGACCTCATGCACGGCGGCTGGCCGCGGGTAGGCGGCGGCCTGGGCGCCGAGGGCGCCGCCCAGCGCGTAGGAGTGGTGCGGATGCGCGTGGTGCGGGTGCGCGTGGTGCCAGGGCTCGGCTGCACCCTGGTGCAGGTGGCTGTGCAGCGCCGCGGGCGAGTAGGGGTCGGCGGCGGCGAAGGGCAGCTCGGAGTGCGCAGCGGCCAGAGAACTGCCCAGTGGCGCGGGCACCGGCGCCTGGTACGCGCTGTTCCAGAAGGAGGCTGGGAAGCTGCGCTGGCTCATCGGGAAGGAACCGTCTGGGGTCCGGCAAGGCGAAGAGGAGAAAAGGAAGACAGAAGCGCGTCACCTCCGGAGCTGCCCGTCGGGACTCCGACCCACACGGCCCTAGAGCCGAACGCGCGGGGCCAGCTCCTTCTTAGGGGCTGCAGTCTGCGAAAGCAAGGTGCAAAAGAGGCTTCCGGGAGCCCCTGGGAGGAGATTCCTGTACTTCGAGCTCGCAGACGCGTCCTCAATGCAGAAACCCCAGCAGAGGAAGAGCGGAGAACCCGCCTCTGCAGCGCAAGTTTGAGCGCGCGGCGACTCCCCCGGGCTCGGCAGACACACGGCCTACATTTCCCCGGCGGTGCCCTCGCTCTCCTCCAGCTAAAGATACCTCTTCCCAAGTCTTGGCCGCCTAGAGCTCTCTGCCCCCTCGCTCGTTCCAACCCGCCTGGCTCGGGAAAACGTGCCCCTCTAAGGCCTCAGAGAGACTGGAAGGCCACCGGCATATTTCGAAGTCTTGCTATTATTAGTTTTCTTTCTAGATACCCAAGAACTCCAGCGAAAGAGTAAATTAGATTTAGGAAAAGGGCAGCTGTACACAGAAGGACCTGAAGGGGCAGGTCTTTTATGCAAAGTTCTAATCAACGAACTTTCTGCATGGAAAAAAGAACTTGATAATTGCCAGTATCGCTGCTGCCCCTTAGTATCATAGAGGATTTTAAGAGAACATTTAGGTCAAATTCGTTGCTTTTCCTAGCGAGGGAAAGATCTTTACTTCAAGGAATCTCTATTGAGCACCTTCTCTGGGGAAGGCATTTACACCACATCCTAGGGAATTAAAAAATGAGTTTTGCAAATGCTTTCTAAGTGTTAAACAGTTTTCCTATAAAATATTTAGGTTAAATATAAAGAAAAAAGATTGCAATTAAAACGAATGCTTTTGGATCTTGTTTAAGGGCAAGAGTTGTGCAAACTGCTAGACTTAATTAAGAGTGAGGGTTATCATTTCCTCTAAGCGACAAATGAAAATTTGTCTTTTTTTTTTTTTTTTTAAACCAAAGTCTTGATTTCTTGGCTGGGTACACATCAAAAAGCCAGGCTTTGTGAGAAAGATTTCTAAATGTGCCCCCCCCCGATTTTGTTGGTGATTAATAGAAGTTGAGATTTCCGAATGGAAGGGGGAGTTCATTGACTTGTCCAGAACTTTGAAATTGTTCCATGCTAGAGTACAGCAAAGAGTGCCTTGTGGAGACCATAAGAAAATAAAGACAGAGTGTGTTTTGGGAAAAGTCTTGGAATGTTTTGGCTGTTCCTTTGTTTTAGTAGCCTATTGGATGACACTTTCTGTTTCCAGATTTCCCAAGTAATTGGAATGTGCAGAAGGCACAGGTCAGTTTTGGAAAACAGTCTCTAGTAGGTTTCAGTTGCCGGTGGGAGGGGGCTTAGAGCCTTTTGCTCTGGGCAAGTTTTCAGAATTGGGAAAATGCCTGGTAACTTGTGAGTGGTTAAAGTCCTCCACCCTCTGGTTTGGGAGGGCACTGGAAACCTCCCATTTCCACAGCACACTTACATACATTTTTTTTTCTTAATGTTTGATTCTCACAACCTTCTCTAAGGATAGTAAGGAGGACAAGTGTTATTCTAATTTTAGAGATCAGTAAATAGAGTGACCTCAAAAAGGTTAAGAGACTTGCCCAAGGTCATCTTGCTAGAAGCTGGTGGAGCCAACATACACACCCAGGCCTTCCAATTCCAGGGCTTGTGTTTGTTCCCAGGTCAGTGCTCTGCTCTGCAGCTTCCCCCATCTCCCTTACCCTTCCTCAATGTTCATCCTCACCCTTCTCAGAAACCAAGGGTGATTCAAGCTGCGTATTCTTGTGCCTTCCTAGAGAGAGCGCCTGCTGAGAGGACCCTCCACTGCCCTTCCCAGTAGGGTCCCATACTCACCTCGCCAGGGCCCAGAGCTTCTTGGTGTTTTGCTGCTGGTACAGCTTGGGGAGTAGCTGCTAGGCTGGCTCAGGGCCCTGCTAAAATGTTCATCCACCACAGAGCTGATGTCCCCCTGGAAATAAGTGAAGAGGACGCAGCGGGAGTTGATGTACTCTGCCTCTGGTGGGCGCTCTTTCTCTGGGCTGCCTTCTTCCTCTTTTATACTGGCTGGGGTTTGGCTGGAAAAAGAGGAGCTGGCACTGCCACTGCTGCTGGGGCTGGCGTTGCACTCCTGGGCTTCCTGCATTTTGGAGTAATAGGCTAGTTTCTGCTTAGAGAGAGAGAAAGAATACAGATGTCAGTTTTGAAAGATGCAGCAAATTGGATTTAGACCCAACTCCCTCATCTTGATCCCTACGGTATCCACAGGAAAATTGGCCTCTGTGCTTAAGCCCTGTGCCCTCTGTCGATAAAAGCAGCAATGCGGGGCCACACAATCAGAAGGGCCATAAAGCTGCCCTTGAGCAAGGCGTGGAGAGGGCAGAGTAGGTGCATCTTCCTTAGAGGAAGACTGCCATCTCTGTCTGGTTCTCTGCCTTCCTGGAGTTGCTGCTGCACTGCTGGGAAATCCTCCTAAAATATCAAGATGAAGGTCCCAGAAGACACCTAAGCAACCAGGTTACAAGTGAATTTGACCTCAGAGCTGGGCTGAGCAGATATCTTTAAAAAACCAGGCTCCAGAGGTAAAGGGCATCCAAGTCCAGTTAAGGCCTGACTGTTCCCTGTCTGAGAATCCAGGGCAGAAGCAGAAGATGCAGTATTAGCATTCTTACGATAGCGTGCTCGTGTGCGCGCATGTACACACACACACACACACACACACACACTCACAAATCCACTCCATGAAACCAGGAATGTAAACGAAGAGCTGCCACGGACAGTTTGAAACAGTCCCATTTAGAATGAACCCCGTGGTAAAAATGTGGAATAATCTCATGACTTGGGAAATCTAGTACACTTTAATCAAAGTAAATTGATATTTGGTCACCACCAAACCATGCATTATAAAGTCTGTCTCAATATTTAGACAGATCTTCTTTGAAGTAATGAAGAATCAATGAACATAATTTCCACTCTCAACTTCTTAACACATATGGAGGGAAAAAAAACAGTAAAATGATGCAGAAGGTTAACATTTTGGCCATGAGGTTGGGTAAATTGTGCTGTCTGATGTGTTTTTAAAAACCAAGTGCAACTGCTGAGAACAGCTCTTCAGGATAAACAAAGCATTCTGCAGGCAGAGATGGTCTTGAGGGGTCTGCAGCCATAGAATGAACAGAGACATCTTAATGCAATAGATTGGTCCAGATTCTGGGAGGAGAAACCAACCTACCCCTCTCCTCTTTGCAACAGTCTCATCCTGGGAAGGAGCTCATCTCAGAGGCTGGAGCCAAAAGATTCCAGTTATTTAGCAATATCACCATTTCCGAAATGCCACTTTCCTACCTGTTCTAAAAATTAACATTGAGACTACAAAAACCCTAGGTTTGAAAGTCTTTAAAGAGGGAGAGGAAAAAAACAAACAAACAAACAAACAACAAAAAAAAAACCAAAAAGCAACACCTACTCATTTCATAATTAACATATCAGGAAATTTCTGAGCAGATATTCTGAATCTGCAAACAAAATTGGTATATTCAGCAACCTTGGGGTTGGGGCGTCTTTCAGTTTTCTCCAAGGCTTGAGTCCAGACCCTCCCTTTCCAACCTGGTCTCTAAGTGCCCGGAGAGTGTATTTTGTTCTTCCCTGGACTACTATCCTCAGTTTCTTTGCTATGTCAGCTGAGGAAATGGAAGAAAAAAACTATTAGGCTAAACGCAGCCCAAAGAAAAGGAAAATTGGGGGAATTAATTGAAAATGAAGAGTTTGCAGAATCGGGGTTAAACGGCCTCTTAAAAAATGAGTTTGTTGAAGGCGAGGCTGCTGGATTCAGCTACATAGGCTCCAGAAAGGAGCTTGCCTCTGCTGGATCAATCGCACCCTAGTAGAAGTTTGAAGATATTACAAAACCAACGCATTCTGAGTGGTTGCTCTTTGTAACGGCGTTCGCTGGTTCTGGAATTAGTCGGCGTGATCTCCTGAGAACTGAAACGGAAGAAATTCTTCCTGAGATAAACTTAGAGATGAGGACACTCGGTCTTTTGGGCCTCAGACAAAAAGACAGAGACTGGTCTTTGCTTTTGTGGTGGTGGTTGTTACTTTCATTCGGGGGACCAAAGTTTTGCCTTCCCTGCATGAGCCCTGCCCACAGCTCTACACCACGGCACCAGATTTGGAGTCTGACAGTCTCGAACTAGAAATCCAGCCCGTGCTGCCTCGTCTGATGATTACAGGGGAAGACCCGGGCGCACATTAGCAGGGCTTAGCTGCTTTCCCGAGAGAGTAAACGGGCGAGCTAGAGGGGTTAGCTAATTGCACAACCAACCGCGAGGCAGCGCGGGCAATCCCCGCATCCGGGCGGCGCTCGCCGCTGGTCGGACGCCCAGGACGCGCGGAGGCGAGGCGGACCCTGGACTTCAGCGGTGTCCCAGCACCACCGGGAGCTGAACCACCCTTCCCCGAGGTCCCGGTCTCGACCGAGTGGACAACGTACCTGGTGGTAAGGGGTGTAGGCGGCTGCGAAGTAAGGCTGCGGAGGACCGTATACTTGGTACATAACATCCAGACAGCTCATGGCTCCCCGCAGTGGAGACGGTTAAGTGATTTTTCATCAACTCCCGCTCGGCAGAGCTCAGGGATGCTGCATGGGCGGCGCTTGGGTCGCGGCTCCGGAGGCATCGGCGGCGTGGCGAGGGGCGGCGCGGCGAGGGGCAGCGCGCTCCGCAGCTCGGGACCCCGCTGGCTCGCTCCCCTCCTACTCCTGCAATTCTAGCCCCGACTGTGCGCGGGGACAGGAGCGCCTGGGCTCCCGCTAGTGGACATTTAAACCCCACGCCCTGCGGGCGTGCTGACGCCACTCGGGGGCCTCACAGGGGGAGGCGGTGGTGGGGGTGGGAGGCGGGGAGCTGGGGGCCAATGGGGAGCGAGGGACGTGGGCCCCAGTGGGCGCGCGCGTGTTTCCAGGGGCTCCCCTGAAGCAACCCTGGGTCCCAGGGTGCCGAGGCTTCACACTGCGAGAAGGAATTTCCTGGACTAAGAGGAGACGGGGCTCTCACACGGAAAGGAATTGGGGCTTTCACACGGAGAGGGGGAAAGCTGGGGAAGAGCTCGTGGGGGAGCGCCAGCTCCACGCTGCGGAGTGGAGTGGCCAGTGGAGCAGATTCTGCTCTCTCGGTTCCTAGCGTAGCGTGGAGCCGGACAGCGCTGTCCCTGCAACCTCCTAGTGGGTCCAGGTCGTCGCCGACAGTCTGTCAACGGAGTCGGGGAATTGCATGCAGGCTGGAGCTAGCTCGTCAGCGGCGAATTGCGGAGGCTGAAGCCCATAACCTCCGCTGTCGCTCCACCCGCTCTGCGTCCCCAAGCCCCCCGCCCTCTCATCCCCTGCTCCCACATTCCAGTTCTGCTGTCTTGGGCCATCCCTTCTGCCCCTGTAACGTTGAATCCTGCCCCTTTCTGTCCGATACCCTCCACCCGAATCTGTTCGGTCGATGGAGATCACGCCCCTCTTTTGGCGGCTGCCGGTGTGAGCTGCTTTCGAGGAGTCTGGAGGGCATTCCCAGCCCCGTAGGCCTCCCTTCCCCGGGGCCGGGGGTCTTCTTCGCCGGCGTCCTTTACTGTCTGGGTAACTTTTTAGGACAAAGACTCGCTGGTTCTAAGAAGAGGAATTCTAGAAAGCGCGGGCAACTTTTGCTGCAACTTTAGCAGGCAGTATAAGTAGCGATGTTCCGTTTCATTGTAGCGAGTTGATGGAACACGCCCTCCGTCTGTGAAAAGCACAGCCTGACAGCGGTGCTGGCTCCGACCTCCAGGCTGCGACGCTCTGAGGCCTCCCCAAGTCCCCCCCCCCCCCTTGGAAAGCGGGGTGTGACAGTGACGTCCTCCGCCCTGCAAGTTTAGAAGCGCAGGGAGACAAGGCCTTTTGCCTAACTGGATCAGGTGGAGGAAGTGGCGTTACAGGAATAGTGGCTGGCGGACCCGGGGGCTGGCAGCAGAGTTCTGGGGCTTTGGGAACCCAGACTTAAGCAAGCCAAGAGCGAAGATCACAGAGACAAGGAAAGCCATTGTTCCCTGGTTCAAATCCAATAGAAAGTTTCACTAGGACTCTCAGGCTATAGAACTGCGAATGCCCCCTGGAAAAAGTACATTGGAGGAAGTATTTGTGATATGCTAAAGATGTATTTGAGTTTTGAAACTGAATATTTTAAGCCGCACTGTTTGGATATGGAATTTTTGTTTTCCACCTGTTTGCACATGGACAATGAATGATTCCATGTCCCCAACTCACCTTGCAAATGGTGAGCTGTCCTAAGATTGAAGAATTTTCTTGATTACCTGCAGTGTAATTTACTTAAATGTAAATTAACAACAAAGAAAAGGCCAACCTTGTGTTCTAGCCGGTTAAGCCTCTGTTAGCCTCGCAGCATCCTTGCATTGTTGCAGCTGATTGGAGACCTGGCTGCTCCAGTTCAGATCCAGTTTCTTGCACTTGGGAAGGCAGCGAAGATGGACCAAGTACTTGGACCCCTGCCACCTGTGTAAATATGTGAGAGACCAGGCTGGAGTTCCTGGCTCCTGGCTTCCAGTTGCATGCATTTGGGGAGTGAACCATCAGTGGCAACCTCTCACACTAACCTCCCTCCACCCCCTCCCATAACTCTTTCAAATAAATACATCTGCATGTTTATTTATTTATTATTATTAGACATTTTTAAACGAATAAAGACAGTCCTCCAGCCCAGTTTTACCCAAGCCTCTTTTTAGCGGCTCGCTGCTTTGTGGATGCGCTCAGCAAATAGGAGGAGCCTCCGGAAACCCAGGTGCACAAGTGACGTCCAACATCCCTCCCATCCCTATCCTAGGAGGAACTATCGTCTATTTTGGAATTTTCCTGAGACAAAAAAAGAGAACGAATAAAGCGGGCCGTCACTCGATTAACCCACAATCTATGTTCCGGATGCAGGGGTGGGGAGAGGTGGGAAATGCAGGTTCCTTCCCCTTCTCTCATCCCGTCTCGCTGCTGCTAAGCAGATTTCGAGCCTGGGGCCTCTCTGCCCAGCCCTGGCCCGGGACTCTAGATTGGCCTCAGTTCACACACCGAGGGTCATTTCCAAGGACGCCGGAGGAGGCGGATGTCCATGCATTCTCTCACTGAGGGCGCAATGCAGCAAGTCTGCACATCTGAGCATCCTACTTCGTCGCAGCGCGCTCCTTTCGGCTCATCTTAGGCTAGGCAACCAGGGATGTTGCTGCCAAAATTGCGTGGCGAAAAGCCTGGGGAGGCAAGCAGGGGATCATGCCTCTAGTCAAGGCTCGGAAATTCTGCTCTTCCCGTCCTGCAAGTTACCTTCTATCAGCTGTTCTCGCTCGCTTTGATGTTCTGTTTTACTTTGATTTTTCTACAAATTCTGGAGAATATCACGACACCTTCTGTGAGTTCAGCAAGGTCCAGCAACGTTGCTATTTTAGAAAAGGATTACAGGAGTAGTGCTTTTGCACATTTGAAGGAAGAAAATTAGGTGAATGGTTCTAGTTGCCTAAAACTGCTTTCTGCTCATATTTCATTATGCCTTCTTACTTAAGACGGTTTTTAAAAATCTCCCTGAAGTTGAGTGATGGTACTGACTGCAGAAGGGTTTAAAGGAACACAGGAAATTGGGTAAGTGAGGACCCATCTTGAATTTAGGCAGGAAAACCTTTCCCTTCCCTCAAATCAAAATAAAAGAAAAAAGAACCAGCTGGGAGTTTTAAAATATACCCTGAAGACTGGAGCATGTTCAGTCTTTTCTCAATATTGGAACACTGGGAGGTGATGTTTTTCAATCTGATGAACTCTTCTCTTGTTTCTATTCTGAAGCAGAAATTAACACTACATTTAAGCCCCTCCACTCTCCCAGTACACAACCAACCAAAGTCAAGTCAAACTTTGATTTAGACTCTTGGGAATGTTACACAGATTGAAGGAAAACAAGAGTAAATTCTGTCTCCTGTTTCCTCTTTATGAATTCCACTCACACCAATTTATTGAGCTGCCAGGAAGGAGTCATATAAAAATAAAGTTAATAAAATCAAAATTTCTTTTCAATATCCTAGAACAATATCTAAAATTGTGAACCTTCATTCCCAAAGTTAATAAATTGCATGCCCTTTGTTGTTGTTTTTTTTTTTTTTTAGCATTTTATTTGTTTTCATTAAGAGAGAGAGAGAGAGAGAGAGGGAGAGAGAGATCGATCTTCCTTCCTGTGGTTCACTTTTGAAATACTGAAGTATCCACAACAGCCTGGGCAGGGCCAGAGAGAAGCCAAGAACTTGGAACTCAGTCCTGGTCTGCCACTTGGGTGGTAGGGATCCAAGTACTTGAGCCATCATCTTCTGACTCCCAGGATGTGCATTAACAGGAGACTGGAACTTGAATCCAGACACTCAGTTATAGGATGTGAGCATCCCAAGCCAAATCTTAACTGCTGTGCAAAACACCTTACCCAAGATGTCAAATTAATTGTCAATGGAATTTACATTCATTTAATCATGATAACATTTCAATGAAATGCTTATTTTCCCCTCAGGAAGATTTGCCTCTTATTTTATGAACTAGCTGACTTCATTGCCTCTGAATCTTTATTGCTGTGTCATCTTATTTCTGTGACAATATACAATTTCAAAAGAAGGACATATGAATAGTCTAGAGAACTGACTTGCTGCCAGCTCAGGGCCTCCCTTGCCCATGGTTTGGATCCTGGAAGTTGACATTTTGGCCTGCCTTATTTTTCCAGTCAAAGGGGATGGAACACAATGCTGACTTCACAGAGTTACTCCCTAATCCCATCCTTGCTCATTTTACTGAAGAGAGATGCCTTTGGACTTAAGAGAGTAGCTGACAAAGTTTTGTGGATTCAAGCTGTTAATGATATTAGTTGACAAAGAAATGATAAATGAGGTAGTAAATATACCATTTACAATGATTTGAGCATCACACATTGTATACATGTATTGAAGTATCACATTGTACCCTATAAATATGTTCAATTATGACTTGGCAATTAAATACCAAAAAGCATGAAAAATTGGTTGTGGCAGAGGCAGGGATTTAGTCTAGTATCTAGGATGCTGGATAAGAAAGAAATCTGCATTCCAAATCAGAATGCCTGGGTTCTAGACCCTGCTGGGACTTCTGATGCTAATGATGATGGTTCAAATAATTATTTTCCTGCCATTCATGTGGGAGACCTAGGTTGAGTTATTGACCCTAACCCTGGCCCTTGAAATTGTTTGTGGATTAAACCAGCAGTTGGGAGTGCTCCCTTTCTGTTTCTCTCAAGTAAATAAATAAACAAACAAACAAACAAATAAATAAGTAAGTTGGAGATAATTCCTGCAGAATTGAGATTTTTCAGGAATGATTTGTTATTTAGGAATGATACTACACTCTGTGTGATGATTTTATTTTAAAGAAATAACAAAAGAAAAAATAGAAATCTGTGTGCTCTAACAGTTACCAAAAAGCTAAGTGGAGGAATTACAGTTTGAGTTAGTAAAAAAGCAAGAACAAGAGGGTTGAGTAATTTTCTTGCAAACTTAGAGTAGCTCACAGAATAGTGTTTCCAAGTAAAAATCCTGCATAGTCACGTGAATAGATGATACTATTTTATAATTATTATTATATATTTAAAATTATAAGAATATTAAAGTTTACTTCAATATTTAAGAATATATTTATGTTATGTAGAACTCAACTTTAGCTTTGGTAAAATAATGACAACTTCCTGAATTACTTTTCTATTGAAATCATGCTGATATTAATGCTCATTTCTAAGATTGAGAAAC